ATCATATATCAAACATTTCCCCACAATAATGGATACCTATGTTGTCACAAAACAATCACTAGAGGGAAATAAGGAGGAAGTACCATTGAGTAGATGTCGATGCTGAAAGACAAAGTCAACACGTTTACAGGACCATATAGACATTTCATCCGTTCAATATGCGTTATAGGTACTTAAGATCAAAACCATGGCAATATCAACAGTGTCTTATTATAACTTGCATTCCAAAAGGGGATAAACCAAGACATTTGTTGAAAAATTGGCGACCAATATCATTATTGAACATTGTGTACAAAATAGCATCAGGGGTTATTTCTTCTAGAATAAAAAAAGTTTTAGATAAGGTTATAAGTAGTGATCAAACAGGTTTTTAGCTGGTCGTTATATTGGAGAAAATACCCGTCTTGTTTATGATATTATGCAGTATACAAAATCAGAATATCCCAGGAATGTTACTTATGATTGATTTTGAGAAGGCATTTGACTCTGTCTCTTGGAAATTTGTGGATAATGTTTTTAAATATTTTGGCTTTGGAAATAGTATAAGAAATTGGATTAAAACTTTACATAAAAATGTCAATTCAGCTATTAATCAGGGAGGGAATTTGTCATCCTTCTTTCATATTGGAAGGGGTTGTCGTCAAGGCGACCCTATAGCACCATACATATTTATCTTATGTGCGGAAGTTTTATCAATCAGGTTAAAGAATAACAAAAATATTAAAGGTGTAGAAATCAAAGACTGTCCTATCTTAATTTCCATGTATGCAGATGACACCACACTTATATTAGATGGCTCTGACAGATCTTTGAGAGAAGTACTTAATGAATTAAGCAGTTTTTCTAAAATTTCCGGATTAAAGATTAATGTAAGCAAGACTCAGGTTATTTGGATTGGCCGTATGAGATTTAGTGATGTCAGCTTTTTACCAGAAATGAACCTAGTATGAGGAAAGGACAATTTTACTTTATTGGGAATAAAGTTCAGCTTGAATTTACATCAGATACCGAAGCTTAATTATGACAAAAAACTCATTATACTGAAAGCTCTAATTAGAACCTGGAGTAGAAGGTCATTGACACCTATTGGCAAAGTTCATGTTATAAAATCACTTATGCTGTCTCAGTGCAACCATCTATTTATTGCTCTACCTAACCCAGATGCTAATTTTATATCAACTCTGAATTTTATCCTGTTTGAGTATATGTGGAACAGTAAGACTGACAAAGTAAAGAGGGGTGTTATTATACAAAACTATGTTGATGGGGGATTGAAAATGGTTAATTTAGAGGCTTTTATTACTTCTCTGAAACTGAGTTGGGTCAAGAGACTTTTCCTTAGTGAAGGTAAATGGCAGCATATTATTAAGTCTATTGTAGATATTAACCTACTTGCTTATGTTGGGGATGACTATTTACAAACATGTTATAATAGATGCAATAACCAGTTCTGGAAAGATATTCTGAAGGCATGGGAAAGACTAAGAAAGGCTGAGAAGGAAAACCCATACGAAAAAGGGAAAGAGGTCATGAAAACTCCAATATGGTTTAATAGACAAATATGTGTTGGTAGAAGGTCAGTATTTTACAGAGAATGGTATAACAAAGGTATAGTTATAATCAGTGATTTATTCAAGAAGGATAACTCTTTCTTCAATTT